AAATATCACTTTGTTCTTCAGCCCTTTTCCAGAAGTAGTACTAATAGGAATGGTATTACACATTGGAAATCATTTGTTGATGCGTTAGTGACATGCCCCAAGATGTCGCCAAATATAGGTGGTGGAATTTGTACTAACATCACATTACAGCAGTTTCATAGATATTATTGGGTGATCACTGTTATGTTCCTGTGCCCGGGTTACTGATCTCCAATTAACTTTTTAAGTGCCTCAAAATGCCCAATAGGGCTGGGATTTTCAAAGCTGGCGAGCAGATTTGGACACACGATTCTTACTAAAATTAATAGGAACTGGGTATTGAATCTCTTTAAGAATTTCAGCCAACAATTTTAGTGAATATGGGTTTCTGTGGTTTCGTGCTATAAGTGACTAAATAGATGCAGCGGATTTGTAGCCTGAAAAAAGACCTACGTTTTCAGGAAATACAGTGCCGTGGGATATAAAACTATAGAAAGAAGATCAAAAGCTAACTGTCACTGCAGCATTATTGCCTCTGGATTAACTTTGCAATGGTCACGTATTATGAGGTTTGGGTATTACTTTCTCTGTGTAACAGCAATCTGGTTTGTTCACTTTTTATTCTTGTCACAATGTAAAAAAGAAAACATTTTCAGGGAATTCCATGTTCCCGTAAGGTGGCCATCCCTTTATAATGAATGATACATCAGTAACACTAAACTCTTTCTGGCTTAGAGTGATATTAATAGGGACACTTGCAGCAGTGGGCTATCGCCCAAGTCGCAGCAGTAACCCATACGGGAGATAGCTGGGTAGACGCCCACAATAAACAGATGTTAGAGTCCATGCCAAGCTGTAAAAAGTCCCTGGTCAAGGGAGCGTTGTACCATATGCATGATGTACAGCCTAATCCTCTGTACTCTTTCCAATAAAAAAGGAAAGGTATCTCGAGACATAAAATACATGCTAGCTTGTGTTATATACATGCACCTGGTAACATTAATCAGCATCTCCCTTGCCAAGTTTAAGAGCATTAAACATTTATTGCCACACTCTGTTTTAATTTGTGGGTAGGGAAAAAACTACATCCATGTCTCTGCCAGAAAGAGAGATATCTAAGAGCATTTGTATGAACCCTTTCCCATTGTTTTGTATAACCTTGAAATGATTCCCTTTGTGGAGTTCTCCCTGGGAAAGTGGATTTAAATAACCAACAGGCGTCTAACAAAGTGAGGTTTTCATGAAGAGAAGCTGGTATGGTGCCTACATTGGAGAGTCTGAATAAAAGCATAATCCTTCCCAGCTTGTATCCTTGTTTGTTCTGCCAACATTAACTCTTCTCTGACAGAAGAGTAATACTTATTATAACCTACCTCCTCAAAACTTTCTATTACCTGTCATGGGCACCGCTGTCGGAGACCTAAGAATCTCAGTCTGTTTAGTTTATGGAAGAGAAGGGTTAAGAGGTGACTTGATCACAATCTACAAGTACCTACATGAGGAAGAGACAGGTCTTGATTAAAGATCTAGAAAATAGGATGTATGAGGGAAGAGTAAAAAAATTGGGTCTGTTTAGTTTGGAGAAGAGAAGACTAAGAGGAGACATGATAACAGTTTTCACGTACATAAAAGGTTGTTACAAGGAGGAAAGAGAAAAATTGTTTTTCTTAACCTCTGAGGATAGGACAAGAAGCAATGGGCTTAAATTGCAGCAAGGGTGGGTTTTGATTGGACATTAAGAAAAACTTCCTAACTCTCACAGTGGTTAAGCACTGGAATAAATTGCTTAGGGATGTTGTGGAAGCTCCATCATTGGGGATTTTTAAGAGCAGGTTGGACAAACACCTGTCAGGGATGGTCTAGATAATACTTAGTCCTGCCTTGAGTTCAGGGGACTGGACTAGATGACCTCTCGAAGTCCCTTCCAGTTCTATGATTCTAATGGCTCTTTGATCTAGCAGTAAAAATCAGAATGAGGTCCAATGGTAAAAAGCTGAAACTCGAAAAAATCTAATAAGAAATAAGGTACAATTTTTTTCGCCAGTGAAGGTAATTAACTATCAGAACAACTTTGCAAGGGGGGAGGTGGATTCTCCATCACTTGAAGTTTTTCAATCAAGACTGGGGGCTGGTCTACTCTTAAAAAGTTGCAGTGGCAGAAATGCAGCACGTTAGTGAAGAAGTTACTACACTGACAGGAGAGTGTCTCCCATCAGCATAGTTAATCCACCTCCATGAGAAGTGGTGGTGGCTATGTCAATGGCAGAAGTTCTCCCATCAACCTAGTGCTAACTTCACTGGGGCTTAGGTCAGTATAACTGCATCGCTCGGGATTTTCATACCCCTGAGCCACATAGTTATACTGATGTAAATGTGTAGTGTAGACCTGGCTTGGATGCCTTTCTAAAAGAGATACTCTAACCCAAACAGAAGTTATGGCTTAAGCCATAAATTACTGGGTGAGCTTTTATACTGGAGGTCAGACTTGATGACTCTGGCCTTAAAAATCCATGATTTCATTAAACTAACACTGTCTGCATCTAGCCTGTCTTTGATAAGACACCTCAGGCTTGCTTTGAAGAGCTGATGCAAAGAATGTTTGACCATCTATTTAGAACGGTGCTTAGCAATGAGGGGTTGCCACGCTTTGCTTCTTGTTTACCGGTCCTTTAGGCAAATGATAGTATCTAGCCTGTCTTTGATAAGACACACCTCAGGCTTGCTTTGAAGAGCTGATGCAAAGAATGTTTGACCATCTATTTAGAACGGTGCTTAGCAATGAGGGGTTGCCACGCTTTGCTTCTTGTTTACCGGTCCTTTAGGCAAATGATAGTGTCAGGATCAGACATGCTCATCAGTCATTCCGTAACTTGTCTGGAGTCATTTATTTTGCGTAACTTATTTCAAGTAAGCACGTGATCTATTGCAGTGTAACAACCAGATTCTGCCAGGTACCCATTGTATCTCGTAACTTTCTCCCAGGAAGTTCTTTTGTTATTAGAATTAGTAGACAGAAGATAATACTTTCTCCTCTAGCATACCCAACTCAATCTGACTTAATTTAGTGAGATTTAAGTTTCTCTTATGAATGTTGACAGCCAATGGCTCTGGGAAGGCAGAAGAGTATAGCATTTGGTAAAGATTACAGAACCCTTGTCAGACAAGGTCTAGGAGAAAGTGCTATCAGGCATTCCTGTCTGTGTTTGTACAGCTGCCATGCTCCTCCTTTGCCTTTGAAGACCTTCTCCTATTGCTGCAACAGACATGGAAAATTATGCGGGGGAAATAAGTTTAAATCCGTGTTTAATAACTCAGTTTCAGTCCTCACCAGCAGAACCATGAATAGGCTATAACATCCGTGCAGGAAGAGCTTAGAAAACAGAAGCCAAGTTTGAAGGAGTCGTATGTAAGGCTCTGTCATGCGAAGAAATGGCATTACATACTAGCATTAGAGGCAAGGAGATAGCAGAACAAGAAGGGAGGTGTGAAACTGGTCTGTGTTTGTTAGCTGGGGGTCAAGGCTTTTAAAGACTTAGCCTAATCGTATTCTTTCCAGCGTGACTTTGAACAAATACATTCAGCGTGTCTGCTCTGTCAAGTTTCCAGCATTAAGCCGCAGACACCTGAGTATGACTGACTCACCCTCTAATTCCCTAGATGCAGCCATCCCTCCGGATAAACCTTTCATCTGACGCAGCTTTATCTGGCTTTGCTGTGTCATGACATTGCTACCCTTGAGACTCATGCAGCCAGGAGCTCCTGCTTTAACCTGACAGCCCTAGCATAATCAACGGTGAAGAACACCTAAAGTAACACTTCCTATTCTCAGAGCTGTGCTGAGAAAATGTTGATTTACAACCAAGGGCAGGAACAAAGCACAGAAAAGGTGTGTGCAGGGGTGAAAGTAACTTACAGGATTTACGGGTACTGCTGGAGTCCTGGGGGGGTGTGGCCTCATCTGGAAGAGGCGTGGCCTCAACCAGAAGAGGTGGGGCCTCTCAAGATTTAAAGGCCCTGGGGCACCGGCTGTGGCTGGGAGCCCCAGGGCCTTTAAATCAACCTGGGACTCTCAGCTGCAGAAGTGGCTGGGAGCCCCCCGGGGCTCAGGGAAAATTAAAGGGCCCGGGACCGTACCAGCTTACTTTCACCTCTGGGTGCATGCACCCCATAAAAATCACATGGTATTAGAAGGTTGTCAAAACTCATGTCAGGCTACAAAATATCACAAGATTGGCTTACAAAATCACGAGTTTTTAAAACAAAGGAGTTGAACCCCAACTATATTGTTTTGACTTCTGCTTTCTAAATCTTGAGGATGCACTTGGATCACATTTTCAAGCTTTTTTCTGCTAGAAACTTTTTCTTTAATGAAAGATGAAACCCCCATGTATTCACATGACTCGAGCCCTGCGTGGATACAACTTTTATAGCCGCGATCCCCCAAAATGGGTCCGTGGCTATAAAGCGGATGTGCAGGACGCTCGATGTGAATCCGGGAGCTGGGGTTTTACAGAAGACATCAAATCCTGCCAGGATCGCAAAAAGCGACAGAGTCTATAAGGTGCCACAGGACTAACAGACGTATTGGAGCATAAGCTTTCATGGGTGAATGCCCACTTCGTCGGCTGCATGGACAGGCAGGAGAGTTGGCGAGGCTGCACGAGGAAGGCAGAATCTAGATTTGCTAAATGGGGGCTATCAGTTTAATATCAAATAGAGCCTCTGGCCAGGGCCTATACCCTGCCTTGCCATTCACTGACAGGGGCTGGACGAGCTGAAAGTGAACAGTAAAAGCGCCAGAAGCCTCTGCCGGGGGAGGAGACAATGCAGAATGTCTGGGCTTCTCGGGGGGTTTGGGGGCTGCCCCGTGGCTCCACTATTGGTCCTTAGTCGTGCCCATTTCTGCCGTCTCTGCACGCTGGGTGCTAAGGGAGGGGAGCGCAGAGGCGAGGCAGGGGCATGGATGGGACTAGAGGAGGCAGGAGAACCCGATGGGAGGGCACGGGGTGGAGACTGGAGACCTGCCCCTCCTCCGAGCTGTGCTCGCTCCGGCGCGCCGGGGGAGGCGGAGCAGAGGCTGCGATTCAAGCGTCCATGGCGGGGCCGGGCTCCGAGCCTGGCGAGCTCAGCGACTCCGAGCTGCTGCTGCTGCTGGAGGAGCCGGGGGACCACGTGCTGCAGCCGGGGTAAGCGCTGCCCGCCTCTCCCCAGGCTTCGGGGTTCGCCTGTAAAACGCCCCCCACAGCCTACAGGGGCGGCAGCGCCCTGAGCTCGCCCCCCCAGGCTGCAGCCCGACTCCAGCCGGCAATGGCTCTTCCCCGGTAACCCCGGGGGGGGCTTTTTTGGCTGCTCCTAGAAGAGCTGCACCTCTGGGGAGCAGCCCCCAAATCGGGGTGCATCCTGGGTGCTTTCCAAAGCAGGGTGGGGTCCCGTACCCCCTTCGCACCCGGAGGCAGGGGGCGGCGAACCCCAAGGAGTCCTGAAGATCAAATCTCCATCCCCGCAATTGTTCCCTGCTCCCAGCCTCTAGATTCCTAACTCAGAGAGACTTGAGCAGGACATTCCCATGGCAGGGTGTGAAACTTGTCTGAACTTGCCCTAATCTGGCTCCCTGAAACTAAATGACTGCTCTTCACTGGGGCTGTACCAGAGTGTTCCTAACTTGGCACAGGCTTTAAAGAGAGAGTGATACTGCTCATCAATTTACTGTTTCATCTTTGTGCTAGTGGCTTTGCGGGCTAAACTTACTGTGCAAACGGCAAAACAATTGTATTTATAAAGGACTTTAGAAGGGGGGGGAAACAATTAATGTATTTCATTATAGAGACGCTGGAAAGGCAAACTCCTCAAGTGACCTGCCTCTGGCATCCTTAAATAAGGTGTTGATGGAAGACAGTGCAGCCGGGAAGGTGAAAAGAAAGAGAGCGCAGACTCCCCTGGAAAAATATTACCTGAAGTACCTTTGCGTGACTGATCTGTCCACTCAGAGTTGGTGCGAACAACAAATGGTTTATGGGAGGGAAGTCCCCCAGCTGCAGGCGCCAGAGACAGTCGTGTTATTAAACACAGGGAAGAGCATACATCTAGCAAGAGGTAACACTACCAGGATGTTGCAGTAAAAACTTCCATGTTGTTTTCTTTCTCTCCGGCTTCTTCTGCCTCTTTTATTACACAGTGCGTTGTTTCATTCAGTTTTCTGCAAAGATTTTGGAAGGCTTTAATGTTTGTTACAAGTAAATGAATTTGTTAATACGGTGGGTCAAATTCTACCCACAGCTACACCTGTATGACCCTATTGATGTCAGCAGGGAAGCACAAGTATTATCTGCAAGCCGAGTTTCACCTTCTAGTCTCATAAGAGCCTTCCAAAAGCATATACTTGCATTAAAGAGCAGTATAACACACTGCTTTAACTATCCTACTATGCCCGCTTCTGGACTAAATTTAACTTATGGGTATCCCTGGAAAAAAGAAAATGTTCCTTGTAATCCTCAATGGATTGATATATTGCGCCAGGGTCAAGGAAAGAGGCTTAAATTTATACCGTTTTCTAACATTTTCACAGAAAGGGCACTGGACTGGGGGTCAGGAGACATGGGTTCTTCTCTTCCTGGCTCTCCAACTGATCTGTTGAGTACCCTTGGGTTCTCCTCTCTGTGCCGATTCCCCTCCCACCTGTTGTCTATCTTGTTTATTTACACTGAAGCTTTTTTACCATGCTCCGTGGTGCCTTGCACAATGGGACCCAGAGCTCAGTTGCAGCCTCAAGGCAGGACTGTGATGAAAATTAATAATCGTTTTATCTCTTTTTGAAATCAGAACTAGAAGTCCATGATGTAGTGAAAGTACATACGACCAGCCAGGAAGATTCTTGGGCAATAAAAATACTGAATCTTCTTTCCGTGATTCCAGTTCTACAAGCAGGTATGTAGGCAGGCAAAAGGTATTGTCATAATTTTTTTTTTATCTTCATTTTACTCTGTGTTTGTGTGGTGTCTGAGAGAGAGAGTGAGTGTGTTTATATATAAAAATTTGTTGTGATCTTTGTGCTAGCTTGAAAGGATGATAACAATTAGAGATCGTTAAGACAAAAATATGTATTTTAAACTCCCTAACCTGAATTTCTAATAACCACCTTAGATTATTAAAACTGAAACTACTTGGGGAGGCATGCAAGCATTCTCTTAATCCAGTGTCTAAATGCAAATTCTTAAAATGCATCAATACTACAATTCCAAGAAATTTGCAGTGTTACTTAAGTCTTTATTCAAAAGCCATGCGAGCCTCATAAAATGTATGGGTATCCCATTTTGTATTCCAGGTGGTTGCGTGCGGGAGCTTCCCGTGTTTGGAGTAATAGAAGATGTCTTCCTGACGGGAATTATTGATGAACTGTGCTATAGTGCCAAGGGAGAGCTGGAGCTGAGAGAGCTAAAAACTCGAGGCCGACCTTTTATGCCTTCTAGAGCACAGAAAAAGAAAGATTATTTCCAGGTGGGTAAAATATGCTCAAATCCATAAACAAATATGTTCAAAATATTGGTAAAATATGTTCAAATCCATAGACAAATATTTGCTCAGAAAACAAGCAACTGATGGGTATTAGACTAACATTACTAAAGAAGTAGTGTAATGACCCCCAAGGGTCAGTCCTAGGACCAATCC